GATCGAAACCATCGCCATCACCGTCTAGACATCCTTAACGAGATTACTCTCATACGTGTGGCTATGTTATGTTTCGATATTTATAAAGCTTTTGATAAGATACCTCATAACCTCCTGATCAAAAGACTTCAATCATTTGGAATTACAAACCCCTTATTGCGATGGATTAAGTCTTTTCTCATGAATAGATACCAAGTGACCAAAATTAACTCTACAACATTTATACCTCGACCGGTAGCCAGTGGTGTTGTACAGGGTATTTATTGCTTTTTATAATCTACATCAACAATATGCACAGGCGCTTTAATAAATTTAAGACCTATGAAGCCAAGATTTGCAATGCACTCAGTACTATGCAAACAATCCACTATGAGCTCAACAAGGTAGACAACTGATGTAAGCACTGGAGGCTGATGCTCAACATTGAAAAAAGTAGCTGGGTATGTAGTGGATTAACATCTTTTAAAATAAATCTAACACTTAGTAAGAACGCACTGCCAAAACTCACATCAGTAAATGACCTAGAGGTACATTACTCACGCAGTCTTAACTTCTGTGAACATATCTCAACCAACGAAACTAAAATGCAAAAATCGCTAAGCTTCATTCTTCCTAACTCCTTTTAAAATGAATCTAAAATAATTCTATGCAAGATATGTGTGAAACTTGCCATTGAATACCGTTCATCCTTATTTTACGACTTACGCCGATTCGATATACTTAGGGTGGAAGGAATACAATGGAATTTCACTCGAAAAATACTTTGGACAGACTTACTCATTGGCTACAGTTCACGATACTTTATCATAAAAAAGAACCCCTATGGAAAAGGCTCAGGACTATTTTAGTCCTTAACTTCTGGCTCTTCAAAAATCTTACTCTACTACTTGTTGAATTTTACTCAAAGAAATAGTGTTTTCCAACAGTATGTGAAACACAGAGCATCGTGTGAGGGACAGTGGACTTACTGACCAGCAAGTAGTGATGGTGAGGGCGATGACTTCAATCCACCCACGTTTGTGGGTGGAACAGTTTGTTTGTATCAGGCTCTTGTAACTTTGGATGAGACAACAGTTCTTTAATACCGAGGTTGTTCTTTTACGTTCACCATTCAGGTTTATGTTTTCAATTATATGTTGGATTAGCCATTCTTCTTGTAGAGTTATGGTCTACTTCGTTATTAGTACCGTTCTAATAATAGACTTGGTCATAAAATTGTAGATTTGTCATGATGTAACTGCCTAATCTATAAGATCTTAAGTTGAAGTCACAATATTATCTACACCTACTCATCGCGTCGTGACAACCATCAATATATGAAGAACACATTTAGACTAGAGATAGAAAAATATATTTAGTATGAATAGAAGGTGTATATCAACATGCAAGGATACTCACGCCTGAAAGGTCGAGCCATCCCATCCGATCAATTTCAATTAACTGAATTCCTTCTTCCCGCTTTCTCCATTGTTGGGTTGGTTCAGCGTTAAATGTTTAATATTTATTTTCCCAGTCGTCTCGTGTTCAGCTTTGGGGATTGTGTGATAAAGACTCAATACCGCTACATACTAAGACAACCTATAACATGCTAACTAGGACTTTTACACTAGGGCCTAGTGTCTGTCATTGGATGAAAAAATGTATAGTTATTAGCGTTTCTCAACACTGTACTCTCTTGATGCACTTTGTGCTCTTAAAAACAGCATTGCTTATTGCAATTTCGACTTCGTTCCCATCGCTTGAACTCACTCCACCCTGTTACATATCATAAATCATTATTCTTTACTACTGCATTATCTTAACTGAAGGTTCTTATCACACTTCACTCTAATAATAGCAGTTATTATGAGTTTGATCTACTAATTTATCACTCCTTTGTCTGTCCCACTACAAAATGTTAAAAGTTGTTAAAGCTTTATATCCAGGTGCCTTGTTGCCGATTTATCTCTCTTTTTCAGCATCACCCTCAGGTCATAGCTATGGAGCGTCGTAGGTTTGAAACAAACTTGTTGTGCTCGTTTTTTCAATGTCGCAGCTCTTACCAAGCTCTCTTTAAATTTGCTCTATAACAAATATACATTTAAAAGGTTTATTGCATAACTACTTAGTATGACCAAAGTTCTAACACAATAAAGCTAGATTTGAACCCAATATACAACGTGTACGCGACGCCATTTTGGGAATATATCTTAAAAAACTGCGCTCTGTGCAGTACGAAAACATAAACCTAATAATTAATACCCTGGAACATCTGCACGAATATATTATTTTTTATTTTTATTGATTTTACTTATTTAACAACCTTATTCAGGAAGCATACTGCTGATTGATGACATGAGTTTTCAACAACTATCTAAAGCGGCGGAAAACTTACTAAAATCAAGATTCCATCAGAAGATAAATCCCCAAAATAAATAGTTCTGTAAGTTTTCGACAATGGGTGCTGATCACATTAGTTTTAACGGAATCCCCTGGCCGAAGGCTCTTGGCCATGTAGTTGCACCAGATCACGAGTGAGAACACCGTGATTAACATCCTTTGTAATCGCCAGCCAATCTAGATTAGTCGATCCTCGATATATTGATAGCCTGTTGAATATATCTTCGAACCTCCTCGCTTCTGTCTTTTGATTTCACTTGGTGAGTACGATTCATATTAGGTGTTACTGATTAAAGCGTTGTCAAACTCCAAATACCTGTGGCGTCTTCATTGGTGAGCCCAACGTGATCTGGTACACCAACTTGCAAACTGTGAATCTGTTCCATTTTTGGGATTTTATATATCACTGCTTTATTTTAATTTTTATGTATTGTAGTGTAGTGTTTCCATGTTTCTGGATACATATTTTCCCCGTTCATTCCTGTGCTTGATATTTCGCCATGACGGAACAGACACCTAAGGTACTCAAGTTAAAGACTATGGCCTATCTTCGTTTCAATTGATGCCTTTCCAACCAGACATCGAAGCCTGGTTCTGCTACGCAGAGGGCAACTTCTACGAGCACGACGTAAACGACATACGTGCACAATTCCTCGCAGTAGTCAAGGCACTACCGCGCGAATTCAACAGGTACGTGACACCTAGTGTGTTCACTAGTGATGTTTCGGAACCTTACGAGACAACGAAACGATCTATCCGCAAACGCGTAGACCTAATCGATCGACAAAGGTTAGATCAATCCTTAATAATATTGGCCTTCAAAACGGTCCTGAGACAAACATGGTGCTATTACAAGCAAACTAGATAATTCGATAATATACGAAGCCTACTCATGACCCAATGATAATTAAAAAATAATAATAATACAAAAAAAGATGAAAAGGGCTCCAACAACTTCGATAAAAAAGGAAGATAGTCAATTGTATATCACAATACTGTTTTTAGCACTATATTTTATGACCACACATAATCTCATGCTTTCAGCTCCTTTCTGAATCCCCTCCATTTGTCAGTTGTACGTCCACTCATACTTTGTTTACACTTATTTTATTTAACCTATTAAAATGCTATTGCTTAACAAATACCTTAATAAAGGAAAATTAGAATGAGTAATCATACCTTAAACATTCCTTCATGAATATTGGTTACTCTGCCTCTCGTGTTTTTTTACATGCTCCTTCTTTCAGCCCCCTTGAGATATGGAACTGGCGACTTCATCCTGCACCATCCTTAAAGCCTTAGATATTCCAAAGGGACATATGGTTGCGACTTCTAGAAGCTTCCACCTTCAATGGACCTATCCTTGACCATCAGTTGCACATTCGCAACGCGACTTTCATGGAGCGCGCCAACAGTGATACTGGCCAATACCATCTACATTCATATCTTTTAAATTATCAACTCGGCTGAGTAATTTACTACAGTGGATATTGTAACGTTTGTAAAAAATTTGATCTTGCATGTAAACTGGCATGCCTCATGTAACAAACTGTTATTTGAGAATAAATTATTATTATTACTATTAAAAGAATGAGAGGTGATTGCCAAATAACCTTCGATAATGGCCTATTCAGACAAAGTTTATTATCTAAACTTTCTCAATAGGTACAAGCTGTGTTGATGTCGTTTCAAAACAACGCCGTAGACGAGCTGACTGCATCTTAAAAAATCACCAAATCTTCTAACGTCGGGGTTCTTCAAACTCAAAATCGATCGACACGAAAAACAGTTCGGGAAGCTTCCCAGCGGGCACGCGTTTAGGACAACCCTAGCCGGCGAACAAAGCCGTCTGTTATACGTCGCAGATGTGATAACGAAAGTCCGCCACCTCGTCGATACTGTCACATAAGTTAGCGTTCTTCCCAGCGAATTCCAACGACCGGCTCCATGAATCGGTTTTAAATCTATAGGCAGCAAACGGAAAGCCAATCGCCACATATGATAAATGGTACGTTTACCTTAACGTGGGTTTATGCAAACCCATACACTGGATTTTCGTTGCTGCAGATGTTTCTATGTCAACCATTGACATATACCTGCTACAATATCACAATCTACTCATCGATACGCACAAATGGAGGCTAGTAGACGGAAACACTAATTTATCTGTTTGTGTATTTTCTTTTTCCGATTGCAAATTATCTTCTGTCACAGTTGGACACACGCTGCGGTTGGTATGTTCAAGAATACTAATCAAGTAATTGTTGATAGAATGGATCTATCGTGTTGTCAACCAACATTTAAAGCGAATATTGTCGAATTTCACTACAATATGTGTAGGCTTGTTCATACGAACCCATGCCCTTAAATAAGCACTCATATAGGTCAACACATCGGGTGAACGAAGTCCTAATTACTATATAGCAACGACGGACTCCTTCTGCCAACCGAAAATTTGAATATTTCGCCGTAGCGCTTTGATTTGGGTTATTGTTGGGAGTTAAGCAACGCTTATGTCGTAAAGATGTAACACATGCTTCTAAAAGATTTAGAATTCGTCGTGTCATTGTAAAAATACGAATTTATCAATAAAATAAAAGGTTGGTCTCCAAAACCTATTTAAATTACAGAAAATTATCAGTTGGAATACATGTAGCATGTATTTTGGTATATTCATCATGCTACTTTGTTTGCTGATCTTATTTTCCCAGATCATGCTGTCAGATTTCAAAGACCATCTCGATGTTACAATGAGTGAGTTCTAGATAATGTTGCCGAAATCACGGCAATTTAAATTTAAGTAAAAAGACGAAACAATGAGATGCCATAGAATCTTTGTTCATAAAAAGTTACAGAAGTAAAAGAGTACGGGATTTCATTTATAGTTACTTTTAAACTAAAATAAACAGTCTGGAAAAGGATTCAAACTCGACCGAAAATCAACATCCCATTTTCCTCAAGCTCACTGGCGCGCCTATTTGACTACCAAAACATCTGACTTCGCTGGATTTTATTATGGTCTTGGTTGTTACTGATGCCTAGGAAGAAATCATTAAAGCTCAATAACACTGGGTGTATATTTTGTTCTGAAGTTGATGATTATCCACTATTAGGACCTATTATTGAGAAAAATGGTTTCAAAGTGCATACAAATTGTATAGTAAGTTCAAATTTGTGAAATACTCTACTCTTGAAGTTTGCTGCCAGCGGTTTATCTCAGACGAACAATGAGAATGAATCCCCGGATGATTTCATAGTTGGATTCGCTGTTTCTTCAATTCTCAATGAACTTAGACGCGGTCGTAGCTTAAAGTGTTCGGTATGTCGTCTCCCCGGAGCATGTGTTGGATGTGTTGTTAACACTTGTCACACCACCTTCCATCTTCCATGTTTAATTAAAGCTCAAGGGATAACGATATTTGAAGGCAACTTTCCTTCCTACTGCCGCCGCCATGCCAACAGACAGGTATGTTTACGCCTAAATATTTTGTACTCATTCTTTGAGCTGTATCAAGATCAGAATAATTTAATAGGTCATAGCTACTTGTGTTTTCTATTCATTGGCAGGCCCAATTATTATTTTATGTTCCGGATCTAAGTATTTAAGTAATGCAGTCGTACTCCAGAAGGATGTACAACTAAATGCCTAGTGGTTCAAGTGATATTTTTCTTGCATTTGTAAATGAAAGTGGAATAAAGTTTAATATGGTAAACGTAAAGGACCCTAGTTATCATGCAGGAGAAATGTTGTACGGCAACTTCACTATCCCGAGCTCCCAATTTTGGGGAAAATTTGACCCATTTTGGGGAAGCCGCTATAGTGAACTTTGGGGAAATAACACAAAAACCCCAATATTTACCCGAAATTCCCCTTTAACCTTGGTCAAGGTCGTTCGACCCTGGGGATTTCCCCAAACTTGGGAGCTCGGGTATTTACCTGCTAAGTAATGCACAATAAAGCTTCCTAATCCTTTGATATTATCTTCCGATTGTTACATTTCGAAAATCCTAGTTACAGAAATCATAAGTCGAATTCAAGAGGTTTCGTTAACATCTAATTTCTATATAACATATTTTGACCTAATAATAGTTCTCTTTAAAGCAGCTTCGGCATCAGATTGGACAGATTTCTGTACTTGAAGGTCATTATTGGGCTATTCTATTTTATTAATTACATTTAGTCTTTCTATCTTCTCTTTAACAGATGGTAATTAGTGTCATTCATTTTAATTGTCATCATGGATTAGGATGTTAACCTCATTAGTTCATAAACATGCTTGATTGTTTGTGTACTTTGATAAGTTGAATTCAAATATCCTACATTATCTCGTTAGCTTAGATGATATGTAATAAATAGTACGATTATTTGCTTATTTGGCAGTCTTAAAATCATTCTCCAAAGCAAACAACTACTCATCTCTTGTATGAAGGGAAGCCGAATATTTTCTCACTGAATGTTTACGTATTGTGTTAGACAATAAGAAAATGAAATAAAACGTCCCTTTGGACTCATCTAATACAAATGTAGCGTATGGTTGTTTTGATTTAGAATTTAGATGGCTGGTTGACGCAATGCAAGGAACCTCCCTCTTGTTGTATCTGTCTGTTCTCAATTGTACCAGACAAAGATTTCGAAAGTAGTTGTCTGCCCATAAAAAGACAAAAGTCTGTACCCATTCATTCTTCGGCAACAAAAGAAAATGTTCCAGTCCTCAACGAAACCAGGCGTACAAGACGGTCTTGTGTGGCTCCTTCAACTCCTAAACGAATTACTGTTTCAAACGGGATGTCTTCTGTTAAGAGAAGATATTCTCAATCAGAGCAAGTTTCATTTTAATGTTTTCATAATAAAGAAATAGGAAATTATCACATGTTAAATACTGTCACAAAACCGGTGAATATACAACATATTGTCACTTTTTACTGACAGCTCTTTCTCAATAGAATCATCTGTTAGGTCATAGTGTTTGAATGAGTTGTTCAACACTAAAAAAAAACCATTCTTATTTCGATTGCCCAAGTTTCTAAATCACCTGTCCAACGGTCAGGTTTAGTTTGATAAAAATTTTAGTAGGACTCCAAGTGGTTTCTAACTTTGATCTTAATTTTAGCTTAGAAACTCTTCATCATTGTACAAAGTTTTGTGTCAGAGAAAACTCGTCTTATCAACAAAAATTCATTAGGCCGTAGTAATAAATCTGACATGTTCAAGATATTTTCTAATTTCAACTGAAAGCGTTTGACGCTCGGTGATGGCTAATGCAAGGGTAGGTTAGTTGAAAGTTAAGAGTGGCCAAACCAAGACATGGCATCAGTCTGTAAAGACACTGACTACTGGACTGAGCCATGCAAGTAGGTACAGACCATACTTAGTTGGGTTAGCGTAATTATTGTCAAAGACTTTGGGCGACATCGTTCCAAAATGTTCGTAGTAGTGTAAGTACATTCCCTCTTTATCTCCCATTGAATTCCAAGTTTCTAGATGCTTTATCGTTTTCTATCGTACTAATTTATGCTTCTTGAATTATACCTTGAATGTCTCACTTTCAATTTCCGCTAATACTGTTACTACCTCTTCTACTCTGAGATTTTCCCTGGCAATTTCATCTCTCTGTGCCGATAGGGTATGACAACTTGGACCGATGTACACGTGTGCCACGCTCTACGTTCGGCATGAGTGAACGACTAACTTAAAGCGTCTATGGAAGTTTGGAAAGATATTATTTTAGACAATACTACTGGTGATACAAAAGTTCAATAATTATTTTGTATGATTGTTTCATCATAGAGTTAACTTACTGAAATTTTTACTGCAAAAAAAATACTTTTTTCGCTTTTTGGAACTCAGAACAACTACGAAATTGGTGCTAAGTTTATCAAGGTTCATGAGTGACCGTGCTCTGCGTTTGTTAGTAACCAATCATCAATTTTTAATTTATCTTCGTCGACTATAGTTAGCCCAGACTATTAATTACAGATTGACTTTGTGTTGAAAGTGCGATTGTAATATAATGATGCGCTCTGCCAATATTTAGCAACTCCAGCTTCAATATGGTGAACGAGACTACTGCTACCCTCTTGTTTCTTGCTCCACTAACTAGATTAAGAAGTCCAGTTGTATAAAAGCTTTGTTGATCAAGAGCCGGTAGAATTCAAAATGCGTTTAAGATAACTAGTTTTACATCGATTACAATGTTTATATTTTAGGAAGTGAGTAAACTGTCAATGAACACAAATGATAGTAAAAAATACATTAAACGTCCATGAGCAGAATTCACACAATAAATTCATGTAATGAAAACCCATCTTAATTCGACAATAATTTTCTTCTTAAGCTGTATTTGGGGATTCGACATCGCCAACAGTGTGTTAATAAATTCAATTTGTGTGATTCAAGTTGTAAATTCGCATTTGTTATAAAATTGTACATGTCCACAATTGATGGTTTAAAACTTCATAAGAGTCTATCGAGTCGGAAATTATCTAAATGAATAAATAACTATTCCCATGTTAGCTTATCGGCTTTGTGGGATTATTAAGTCACTACTAATTTTCCACTGGAAACAAGGTTATAAACAGGGTATTGGTTATAGTGGATATATGTCGAAAACAAATCTCTTTATTAGGAGGGTAAACCAGCAATATGATTTTAAAATCCGTACCTATTCATACAATCGCGGTTCCAAGTATGCTATTCAAATAAATACTGTTGCACCCAGAGTGATCTCTAGCAAATATAGTATTCGTTTTTTGAAAATAAATCCGTACTTATTGTGGAAAGTGACTTCAGAGCAGAGTACACCAATCTATACTTCATTCATAAGTTATGTCTTAATTAAACCAGACCTCATCAGTGCATCTCACTTTCTATCAATGTGTCTCGTAAAACAGATATACCAACTAACATGCGGATTCACATTTTATCGGATGGATGGCATATTATTACAGACATGCGTTCTCTAAATATTGCAGATGAATCCCCCATGCGCACTCGTTTTTCATTTCTATTGACTCCGTTTATTGAGTTTCCACTGTATGATTAAGCTTTTATCTTGCACCGTTCTCATCCTTTAGTACATCTACTTGGGAGTTACCCGGTTCTTCCTCTTCGGAGCCCGAAGAACAAAATCCTGTTCAACAACATAAAACACCCAAAGAATCTGTTACACTACCTTCATCAATGTCACATATTCCTGGGTGGTTGACTGACTACTTTCTTAGTCTTGCTCCTGAAAAGAGGCTTCCTGTCTTTGAGGCATGGAAACACCACACTATCCATGGGCTCTGTTGTCCTTTATCGTGGATGCATAGAAATTGTATTGCAGGTTTTGCTGTTTCTGCTGCATTACATTACCTAAAATGCCCTTACTGTGCAAATAGAGAAATATTCATCAGGTCCATCATCGATACTGGTATATGGGTCCCAGATCAGTAAGTCATAGTATTATGTCCTTTTTGTTTATCTAACTCTAAATTTTGTACTTACTTGATAGTGATATCTGTATACAAACCTTTAGATACGTTTTTCAAGGTTACTGTAAATAATATCCGGTTTCAAGTCGCTTATTCACACATGATTTAGTTAACAAATCTGATTTCAAATAGCGAATTTGTAACAAAATATGACTGATGTTCATCTAAAATTCCATGAATATTGAAGATTTAGTGGCTACACCTTATTTTTTTATATGAACGGTTTAGGAGTGCAGTTAAGCTGTGAGCAGCGAGATTGACTGAGGTCTTAGGTAGAATCTGGGAACTGAACGTAATCCCATCTGACTGGTCTCAATCACTGATTGTGCCAGTCTATAAAAAAGGACAAAAGTCCTCTTGTGACAATCACAGAGGAACCAGTTTGACTAATATAGTGTCTAAAATATTAGCTTCAATAATACTTCGACGCCTAACTAAAGCTCGTGAAGAGCAGACTAGAGAAAACCAGGCTGGTTTTCGACCTGGACGTGGTTGTATAGACCAGATATTCACGCTACGTCAGGTTCTAGAACACCGACATACGTTCAGACGCCCCACAATGGTAGTATTTCTCGACATTAAGGCGGCATTCGACTCTGTTGATCGTAAGGTTCTATGGCAGTGTTTGTCACTGAAGGGAGTACCAAAGAAGTACATTAACATTGTAAAGGCTCTCTACTCGAACACAACTGGACGAGTGAGAGCTTATGGCGAACTGTCATCAGAATTGATTACCTCGAGTGGTGTTCGTCAGGGTTGTCCACTCTCTCCATTCTTGTTTAACTTTATCGTAGACATGCTTTTCGAGATAACACTTTCCTCATCTGAATTTCCAAGGGTTGAAATTCTACCGGGAGATCCACTTGTTGACTTAGAATATGCCGATGACATAGTTCTATTTGGTGAAGACGCTGACAAAATGCAGAGTATTCTGACCACTCTAAGCAACAATGCAAGCATATTCGGGATGCGATTCTTCTCCTCGAAATGCAAAATGTTCCTTCAGGATTGGGTTGCATCGACACCCGAACCACTGATAGGGAGTGAAGTAGTCGAGCGTGTCGACCGCTTCACTTATCTTGGAAGTCTTATCAGCCCTTGTGGTCTGGTGTGTGACGAAATCTCAGCACGGGTACAGAAGGCTCGACTAGTTTTTGCCAACTTGCGTCCCAGATCTTAGCTAAAATATTAGTCAACCAATTTTAGCGATTAGGTTGACTAATATTTTAGCTAAGATCTGGGAGTTAGACGTTATTCCATCTGACTGGCCACAATCACTTATCGTCCCAATATATAAGAGAGGGTTAAAATCATCCTGTGACAACCATAGAGGGATTAGTTTAACAAACATAGTATCTAAAATACTAGCCTCGATAACTATCAGACGCCTAACTAAGACAAGTGAACTGCAAACACGAGAGAATCAAGCTGGCTTCAGACCTGGTCGTGGCTGCCTCGACTATATATTCACCATTCGTCAAGTTGTAAATCATAGGCATACTTATCGACGTCCGACAATGGTGGTCTTTCTTGACTTAAAAGCAGCAGCGACATTCTGTGGCAGTGTCTGTCATTGAAAGGCGTACCCCAGAAGTACATAAACCTTGTAAAGGCTCTTTACCCGAACACTACTAGTCGAGTCAGAGCTTATAGCGAACTGTAATCTGCTTTTGCAACCTCACGTGGTGTCCATCAAGGCTGTCCATTTTCTCCATTTTTTTAAACTTCATCATAGACCTATTGATGGAAGTAACATTCTCGTCTACTGGATTCTCGGGAGGTCCACTTATTGACTTAGAATACGCAGATGACATAATTCTGTTTAATGAAGACGCTGATAAAATGCAGTCTTTTGGTGGCACTAAGCAACAATGCCAGAATGTTTGGAATGCGTTTCTCTCCCTCTAAATGCAAGCTGCTGCTTCAGGACTGGTCTATGTCAACACCTGAACTAAGGATAGGGAGTAAAGTAGTCGGACGCGTTGACAACTTCACTTATCTTGGAAGTCTGATCAGCCCTAATGGGTTGGTGTCTGACGAAGTCTCAGCACGGATTCGGAAAGCTCGTTTGGCTTTTGCCAACTTACGTCAACTATGGCGAAGGCGAGATATCTGTCTATCAATAAAAGGACGAGTATACTGCGCGGAAGTCCGTTCTGTTTTTACGGCTGCGAAACATGACCATTAAGAGTAAAAAACACTCTTAAGCTACTAGTATTTGACGACAGATGCCTGTTGATGAGATTGTGAATCTTCATCGACTGAGAAGGTTGGGCCACGTGTTACGTATGCCCGAACACCGATTACCACGACGTGCAATTCTAACCGGTGTTCGGGATGGCTGGAAGAAAGTTAGGGTCGGCCAAACCAAGACGTGGCATCAGAAGGCTCGACTAGCTTTTGTCAACTTGCGTCATTTATGGCGTAGGCGAGATATCCGTCTATCAACCAAAGGATAGATTTACTGCGCATCAGTTCGTTCCGTCCTACTTTATGGCGGTCATTATAAATGATAGGCATTTTCATCAATGGGAAACGTAGTTTGTACATAGTGACGATGACAACTACTTAACAATCCCTAATAGATTCAAGACACATGCTATCTATCCATTTTCAGAGAAACTGTCCCGATTATGAGTGCTTCTAGATTCCTTGGTACATCCAAGGGTAATGTGTAGTGACTTTGCTTCGTTAATCGATCACCTCAATAACCGTTATATTATAAATCTCAACGGTGTTTGAAACCAGAAGGCAATGAAAATCGGCAACTACAGTTTATTAGCGGATAATGCAAATCACAAAGCTATAAGCACATCAAGCGAATTTGAAGCAGAGAGGCGACTATATGTAAGCAAACACAGGCAAATTTGTAGTCAAATCGCACAAGGGCGCAGCAAAAGCTAATTATGAGATTTGAGCACATATATACATGAAGAGGACGATGAGTCATCGAGCAACATTTAAGATATTAACATTTTAGCTCGAGTGTCATGTGATCTAGTGTTCATAACGGTACAAAGAAATATGCGAATCGCTACTGCTGTAATAACATTGTCTGTTAAGTAAGTTAATAAAAGGGCTTAACAAAAATTAACCATAATCGAAATTGGTTGTAGGGCTGTTGCTATAATTTAATTTGTAAATCCAACTAGCTCGTTTCGTATTTTTTGTCGACTAAACATAAATCTATCCTCGTGCAGAAGATCCAAACATCCTTTAGAAACTACGATCAGTTGTAGTCCACACAGCCTGGTACAAATGTGCAGTAAACAAATTCAAAATACAACAGCCCATCGAGAATATTTTCCAAAAAAGGATAAATAAGGAGAATAAATAGTTATGTAAGCTCAGATTTTAAGGGGAAGATAAGTGAATCCATATACACATAATTCCTATTTAAACATAAAAAATACGAATTTCCATAAACGGATCCGTTTTCAGAGAGTTTATCATCAAGATATACAATCATACAGTTATATAATATTTTAAGTATTCATTCAATGAACAGACATGATGATTTTATAAGATTACAATGCTAGATCGTATAATGTAAATAATAACACTTAAGGATTGTGTGCGCATAAAGAGCCGTTGAGAATTGATTAGTTGACACTGAACTGTAATTTGAATGAATTAGGATAATTAAACATTGTTACAATAATACGAAATCAATGGGACGAAAAAAAGTAATAAAATAATGATAGTTTGAAGCACACTGTTCGGACTTCATTTCACAGATGACAGGAGCTGTTGTTTTATGGAGTTTAATACAAAAAATCTTGTTGGATTTAGATGGATTATGTCAGCAACCCCAATCAACCTGTAGATCATCGAAGTGATTAGAACAGATTAAATGTTCAAGGATGTCACTCCTAACCGCTGTCCTCTTACATTTGTAGATCCACATTGGAATATGCTTTTGTATCTGAGTTTGGAAAAACCTCCGGCTACGGCTCGTATACCTTGTTGCACAAGAATAGGTGAACTGTTAGGTGCACATTGAGGCGACCAAGCGAGTGAGGTTATCCATCACAGATACGGAAAACGAATCTCTGCTGGTGAATGTTAATCGCCATTTCCTGGTTTGGTCGCTCGTTGTCTTCTCTCAACCTATTCCTTCTGTCAACGTTGGACTTCAAAGCGGTCGGACGTATGCAAATATTTCGCCGCCATCCCAACCAACAAAGTTTCGCTACCTCATCAACTTGACGTTGCCTCCTAGTACCTCATACCTAACCTCAGCATTTTTCACTGTTGTTTTACGACAAACGATCAATGCCTCGATTTTATGACAAAGCTGCAGCCTATACATCTTTGTTTCTGTAGACCGCGTTTCACAGTGGACTTCTTTCCCTCTTTGGTTAACAGAGGAACACCTACATTACAAGTTAGCTTTCTGTTTCTATCCCTGTGAATGAATTAGTGTTCCAATCAAAACTAATTGTGCGTAGAACATTAGATGAATGCAAAAATTTATGTAATTTTAAGGTTTCAGTGAATAGTGGTTGAGACGTTTCATAAACTATAAAGCTTCTTACATTACTGTGTCTTACCTCCTGGAGCAGAATTTTAATGGAAATTTTTCAGAGTAGTCAAGCCATGAGGTGACATTCATTCATTTAGGCTTTACAGATAGTGTTACCAACAAAAAACACTATTTCGTTACGTTAAGTCAGTTGCATTGGTGCGAATATATCTAAGTACTGAGTACCTCACAATGTCATATCTTGAGGATCAGTAAACAAATAGTAAGTGTTGTTTTATTTTGTTGATGGACTTATGAAGATAACGCCTTTTACCAAGGTAATACGTTGTATTTTTATTTATTTAAAGGGATGCAGCCTGGGAATTGGAACCAGGGGCTTATGCAGATCTTGTTCCCATTAGCGAATGTTCCTCTAATGATGAACCACAAAGTAACGATACATCCACTACATCATCTCAGTGTGATTGCAATCGGTGGAGCCAAAAAAATGTCAGCCATGCGGCGCACGTTACACAGACTGCGGGTGTACAAGTTGAGTATGCATCATCCAGTGGATCACCGTCTACAGATCAGGAGCGTGTTCCAGTACTTTCACTTATATGGAACAACCAAAACTTCAAAAAACGTCGTGGAAGAAAGCCTTCATCTAGACGTCGGACGCAAATATCTCAAGCCGTTCCAAATACACCTGGACCAACTCGTGTTTCTCGTAGGCACACGTCCATTACAACACGAAGTATTCAGGATGATCACTCTCCTAATAGTGCTTTAAATGAGAGCAGACTACGTCAAGTAACCTTAGGATCTTTTCTTTCTGTTAGGACTCAGACTTCCCGGTAACTCCTTTTGCACTTCAGATTTTCTTAGTTTGTCTCTATTTCCTAAATCTCTGACATTAAAAAGTTAAAGATTGAATCTGTACATACAAAAAATTCTATTTGTTTTAATAGATTCTTTTTTATGAAAACAGTAGGGTAGTTGCGTTATGCATCATCTTATCGTTGTTAGTGCTTATGAATCTTTTAGGACTTAATGAAATACCATCAGTTTGGCAAACACGATTGTTTTGTAAGATTACATGGTAATTTTGTATTGATTACTTTTATTATGCTTTCCCTAAAGGTCTCAATGTCCGTACAGTTATAAATTTAAGGACTGAATTTTATTTGGAATCCTTTAATTTTACGAAGTAATAACCTGTGGTGGGGATAATTGATCTTTTTAAATCATTCAAGTATGATTAGGTAGGATAAATCTACTTTTGTAAACAGAGGTTTATTTATTGAGTCCAAATCAGGACTTACGCATTTTACATTATTTATTTATTTAAGCGCACAAAATATAGTATAACTACCAGAGATAGAGTGACCACACAAAATGTGGGTAAGATCGTAAGGAAAAGGAAGTACATTTAAAAGGAAAGTATAGTTAACAAAATAATTAATAAGAACGGTATGTGGTAAAATATATAGTTCAGTCAATAGCACACACACGGAAATTCGGAATTCCTGTAGTTAAATTCTTTCGCAGCAGGATCGCCGTTCGTCGCTGTAACTCCAACCAAGGAGTCGCAATCGACTAACAGATGTCAATCCTATACTGACTTTCACATTACGGTGCCAAGCCATAAACTGACTACCGCTTTTTTCAACCACTCCTAGTGTCATCAATCAACGTGCGCTGGGGTGACATCCGTAACACTTTCAAGTCACCGAATCTGGTTTTTAGGGGTTGGTGACATCAAGTGGGTTTTCATCGCATTACTAATGTGTTGCAATTCCTCGCAGATGACGATAATCAAACACAGAGTCATCCAGCCCCCTAACTCGGAAAGGTTAGACTTTTTAAACAGGACGAAACTGTTCTCACCGACGCATTCTAGGCCTGACGTTTTGTAGCCGAACTAAAATCACGATGACTTCAAAAATGTCCAAGATTGGCATAAGTCCTAATCTCTTTAGTCAAACAACTACCAACACAAATCTACCTAGATACCGGAACTTCCAATTACTTACCACCAAGGGTGAGTGCAGACAGGCTCATGCCAGTCTTGTAGAAGTACCTTTTACTTAGGAGGTACAAGGTTCATACAATACCTGAGGACACTGATTGTCGACCCATTAAATGCAATTTGTATAACTTTGATATGATTGCATATCAAGACAATATTATCTGTATACTAAAGATAGAAAAGTCTTTCTTCAAGTAACAAATCTACACCACACCTACCCACTTCCATCAGGTGTTTCCAGTATGCGATCGATGAGAAAGTTGACTGGATAACCCTGCCTAACCCCACTGCTTAAACGGAGATATGGTTGTATGCCCTCGCTCTGCCTGTGGTGTTGATATATAGAAACTACGAATTGTTCATAAACTTTTCCAACATATCCTTCGACAAAGTAGCAGTTATGTCTTGATATCAAGAAACATAACGATCTTTGGTCCTCATGTATGATGCTCTACCATTTGGTGGAAGGTGAACACATAACCAATACTTCTATGGCTAGAACGCGCGTTCTTCACGCGAATCAATCTCCCTCCGGTTTTGAACTATCTGCAGAATATGATAAAAGCTAATAGTTTGGACACGGTCGGAAGTAGATTTATACCGCCTAAAATTGTTGCCTAGATAACGTAGACCCTGTTTATAAATAAAGACTGTCGCTTCATTTTAAGATAATAACTCCCTAAGTTTGCTATCATCCTTAGGAAGAGTCGGAAGTAAATTGTCTTGGTCAGGTGACTCATTAGGTCTCACAAGTAAAGGTTTCTGTGAACCCCCGTCTCGTTAGCCGGATTGGCTGTAACTGGCCAGGGAGGGCTGAACAAACTGGTTGACGTTGCCGCCACAGTAGATTAGTTGGTTTGTTTCTCGAAGGACCCCGTCCCCTTTGTTAATCAGTGTTGAAGTAAATTAGGTATCATATTCGCGCTGAATAAAAGTATACTCATTATGAAGTACCTGTGTGAATCTACGTCATAGCAGTTACTTGGTCATTTAATTTATCTCAAACTTACTGCTCATAAGGAATACTCAGGAGTTGTATAATTTATGATACCACAGGCATTTTGTATTTATCGAAAAAGTTCAGAACACATTTCAGAAATAGCTAGGAAAGTTATTTAACCGTGAGTGGTATCTGAAAGGCTGTGGAAACAGCAGTGTTCGTCAGGGCTTATCCACTTCCCCAATTTTACTTTTGTAATAGACATGCTTTTAGATATAACACTTTCATCGTCTGACATTTCTTTAGTTGATCTTCCATCAGGAGATCCACTTGTTGACGCAAGTGATATAGTTCTGTTCGGTGAAGACGCTGACGAAATGTAGTCTTCCGACCACCTTAAGCAGCAATGAAAACATGTTTAAGATGCGATCTACCTATCCAAATGCAAAATGCTACTTCAGGATGAACTTGCGTCAACGCCCAAATTAATAGTAGAGAGAAAGTGGTCGAACCCACTTATCGCTTCAGTTCTGACATTTGAAGAAATGCCGACTAGCTTTTGTCAACGTGGGTCACCGGTGGTATGGGCGAGATATCCGTCTCACGATCAGTCTGCCTTGTTCTATTTTATGGATGTGTCCACTAAGGATAGAAGATATACGTGGGTTATTGGCATTCGCTCATAGGTGTCGTCGACAAAGTGCTCATGTATTTTGGAACCACGGAGCGAGCAATGTGTAGATTAGGGATAGGGTACTAGGTAAGGACGGCAAATCGATTGAAGGTGATCTTAACGTATCTCCAATAAATGCCTATCTCGACGGGCGATATTGTTTGATGAAGTAGGCTGAAATGAAGCCAAGAGCGGCAAGACACGGCTTTGGTTAACGAAGTCAACGATAGTTGGACTGAGCAATGATAAGTGTAGGCTACCTCGAATAACATGGCTCAAAATCGTTTGCAATGGTGCACACGAATACACTCTTTGTCTTTCCCCAAATTCTAAGCTTTTGAATTGCTCATAAATTTTGTTTTTATTCCATTAATTTATATTCTCTCGAATCATATCTTCGATGCTTAATCTTTCCTATTACCACCGATACTATTGCTACCCCTAGTATTACGGGATCTGACCTGACAATTTCATCTCTCTGTGCTAACGGGATGTGGGAACTTGGGTCAATGTACATACATACCAGGTTCTATTGTGACTGATTTAGTATTTATTAGTTTTGTTTATCACGTTTAATAAGTCATAATACAGTGCAAGTTATAAGTATGATGGCAATTAATTGTGAACAATAACATTATGTCAGTTATTAAATTAGTCGACATCTTTCCAAAAAAAGTTTCTACGATTATTAAAAGTGTACCTCATGGGTCTTGAATCTTACTAATACCTCCACAATATCAATTTATTGGTAATGAAGCATTGTTGGTGCCATATTGTCAGAATTTATGTGCTATAAATGTTTTTAGTTAAGATTTAGTTGTCACGGGTCATATTGCGGGCTAGTTAACTGTCTTCCTAGTTAAAGTGATATGTATGTGATTTGATGAATTGCTTTAAATGGAGCATTTCATTTATAATTTGGTTTTTATAGTTAGGGAAAAGCTAGTTTTTACGGTTTAATAACCTGATTTTAGTGTCAGAAATTCATCTTAAACTGGCTCATGTACAAAATTGTGACTTTCAATCAATTCTCGCATGTTTACTAAGTGTAGTCACTATATTTGCTTCCTCGTTGTCGTCATTTTGGCGTGGAAAATGCTGAGTGAATTAGATAATTTTGAGTGCAGGTGTTTTATAGAAAAACCTATCTACATATTGGTATGCAATAGACTTGGGGTAATTTTTTCAGGTTGAAAGGGAAAAACTGTCACCTTGATGATAGCAGTGAGTTGCCACTTCCTTCAGAAATACTGATTCATTCTGGTTGTCTTGAGATTTGTATCTCTTTCCTTTTGATGACTATATATTTAGTCAACCGTTTTTGCCCCACAGTAATATACTTCTTTAAGCTCACTTTATTAATGGTGTATTGGCCTGAAAGAGCGGTGAATGACACGCGAAACCTTACTCCTATTTGCAAACCTGCTGACATACAGTTGTGATTTCAGAAGACTAATAAGATTACGAAAACGCTATCACATTCGTAATGTAGTTTACACTTTTTTAGGACGACACCGTTTTTTCTGTTGTCTTTTCATTTTTATTTGTCTTTTGCGTTCTTTTTTACTTAGCCAAACTGGGTAGGTTCCATGTTCATTACACAGTATTTTTGGCAAGCTTTTGGGAACAACTAGAACGATCAAATAAAGCATATTGTAATCTTACTATCCATGTGATTTGAAGTTGAGTCAACCAACTGTTCGGAAGAGACTGGATTTTCTTCACTTTTCTTGGTAGATTTTATCAACTGATCCTTGATTTTCTTAAAGCTACGTCTACGTCTAATCGCACGAAACCGTCTTTTTGATTTACTTCGAATACTTTTGGTCATTATAAACAGATCCTGTGATTGCCAGGTAGTCCAAAAATGTATGTTACAACTTGAAACGAAGTTTTAGCTTGTTTCGTAGATAATTTGGGTACTATCAAGCTGACTGCGAAGGATAATTAGGTATTGAAATGGTCGGAATGTACTTGTTTAAGACGAATATCTGAAGAGAAAATGTAGAGTAAACTCAGCACATACTACAAAACTGAGATGATGTGACAATCAACACGAATTGATACAACAATAAAATCAAATCCAGTACAGTTACTTTTCAGAAAAGAATTAAGGATATTTTATGCTTTGTGAAGCATTATGGAAAACATTCATAAGCAAGAACAACGAATATAGGAGTACGTGACAGTGAGAAATGATTGGAGCCGTGAGATAACATTTTTTAAATAGTATTTTTAATTATCTGGTCACATTCGTTTCACTTTAAATGTTTTTTTTCTCGCCACAGTTTACATCATTTCTTAAACCCTGACTTGCCCCCAAATGCCCTGGTACGGCCGAGAGTGGGGAGAGTACGCTCTCCTTCTCGAAATGCTCTCACATGGCCACGCGTATTTAGCCTCTGCTAAGGAAGTCCTACTAACTGCCTTCTCGTGGTGGGGGTGTTGTTTACGAAGATGAGAGGATGAAAAGCGAATGTCCAGCGCTTTAACCGGATTCCAAACCAATGGTGCACATGGGCTCCCGTATCCTGAGGGAACAAATGGCGTATGAACCAATCGTTGGTCACCGGCTTCCATGGGACTGCATCTCCTTACGACGCACCACTGCCTTGTGGATCAGACCTTCAGGTGGAAGGTTCGGGGCGTGGCTCCTTAGGAAAACCACCTGCTTCGGTTTGGGCACCCGGGCAGTACCACAGCCCTCACAAATATCGAATGAGATTTGTGTGGCGCATATGTATTTGGTGCCTCCTTTTACTAATATCTATGTGTTAAAATAAATAAATAAAACCCTGACTCAGTTAATCTAACTTGAAATATTACATCACTGGTCTAAAACTTCCATATTTAGTAACCCAAAACTTGCTACTCTGTTGAGCTTCAAATTAGCAGTAATGAACGTGTAGCCTAATAGTAGGGGCAAAATTTTAAACCGTCAAACTAGGTTGCAGTAATTTTAGTTATACATTAGTCCTTGAATCTACATAACAAATGTGAATAACCCTAACAATATGAGATAGGCTTTTTGAATGTTCCAATATAATATACTTAGGTATTTGTGACATTTATCACAGTCCGCACAAAAGAAAGATTATCACGGGAATCAGCATATCTGAAATAAACAAAGCACCCTCTCCCAAATATAATGAGCCTCGAGAATACAGTTTACGTAAGTGGCTGGTTTTTTATTTCTACCTTATTTCTCTCAAGTGTCACACTATTTTTGATACTTCTCACAGTGCATATGCACTGGTAAATTACAACAATTAGAAGCCTGTGTCTCTAATAACACGAAACGTAATAAGTTGAAAGAGATCAGTATGGACAGAAACTTATAGAACCACCAAATATATCTTTGAGTGGTGAAAGAAATGGACAATAAATTATAAATATGCGCCTTGATGGATCACCAAGAGCATTTAGTGAATGACTACATTTCAGGAAGTCTTTTCTTCAACAGTTTACTGGTATCAAAATTTATAGGTTTCGTTAGAAGTTCATCTAGTGGTCGGTTTCTATAATAGTTTTACTCAGAACGCCAATAGATATTCGGGCAGTCGATTTTCCATGAGTTGTTTTCATTAAATTTACTTGTCGTGCAAAATCGATATTAAAATGGTAAATCCGTACATAACAAGCTAACTGACCTTAGTGACGTTTTCAACAAAATTACTTACACCAGGTCAAGTTCAAAGACGGAGAAAACTACTTTCTTAAATATTCGGCAATTAATACTTGGTTTCAAGTACATAAATTTTGTTGGATTAAAATTGGCAAAATCCCTTATTCTGGCCAGACAATATATATATATATATATATATTTAAGCCAGAACTGACATTAATAGCAATTATAATTCTGTATGTCAGTAACTTGTAGGGACAATATTGGTTTGTGCTCTTGAGGACCAAAACTTAAAAAAAACAAGTTCCAAACAAATATTCCATCCAGTTGGAATCACATCCACAAGATCCATATATACAACTGAACTGCAATTTTATTTAAGTGAGGAACCATCAACTTTTTTTCATTGTAAGGCCCTTGGCTAGAGTCAAGTTACTATGATTTAAGAACGGAAAAGTGGTATATAATGCTTATCATCTAATATTCGAGACAAGACTAGGGTGATGCTGACCTTAAGCATGCTACGTAACGTACCAGACAAATTTAGCGGTAATAATAGACAAACACTAAACGTTCCAGACAGAAAATGGGGACTGTTTTTGACACTATGTCTCTGTGGTAAGCGAGATAGTTTGATTACGTCTAAGCAAGGTCTTAGCTTAATGTCTTAACGAACAAAAGGATAAAGTATGATAATGCTCACGTTCTGCTTCCCTTAATACTAACGAAATAAAAGTAAACGTCGAGCTTTGGTTTGTAAAATTCAACACTACATGACACCATTAATCCTTCCGGGCGTAAATTCCGAAACTAACAGTTTCTAACCAGAAAAAATCACACTGAAGTGGTCTTGCTTACAGGGGATTTGATGATACCATTGAGGATGTCACAGGTATTCAGTGTTTGACAACGCTTTTACCAGTAACACCTTCTAATATATTTCGTTCCTACCTAGAGAAATCAAAAGACAGAGTCGAGGAGATTGGAAGAGTAAATTTGGCGATAACCAATATATCGGAATTCTCTGATCTTGTAGCGGTAAATAAATCCCCAAAATAAATAGCACTAAGTTTTCGACATTGGATGCTGACCAGATGTTTTAGTGGACTCATCTAGCTGAAGGCGCTCGGTCAGGCATCCGCACCAGATCACGTGTGGTAACGCCGTGCTCAACATCAACCGCAATCGCTAGCCAGTTTAGATCAGTGAATTCCGATATATTGGTCATCGCCAAATATACTCTTCCGATCTCCTCGACTCTGTTTTTGATTTCTCTGGGCGGGAACGAAATATATTAGAAGGTGTTACTGGTAGAAGCGTTGTCAAACACTGAATACCTGTGACATCTTCATTGATGAGACCGACGTGATCTGGTACACCTAATTGCAACTGTTAGTCTGTTCCTTTTTGGGATTTTTATATATCATTGCCTTATTTTTTAATTTTTTTAAACATTGTGACTTTTATTCGTGTTTTTTCCTGGATATATATATTTTCCCCTCGTTTATTATCGTACTTCATATTTCATCATGACTGAACAGACACCCAAAGTACTCAAGCTTAAGATCCTGTCCCCACCTTCGTTTCAACTGATGCCTTTCTGGCCCGACAACATGGAAGCCTGGTTCTGCTACGCAGAAGCCGACTTCCACGAGCACGGCGTGATCGACACACGTGCACAATTCCTCGCAGTAGTCAAGGCACTACCGCGCGAATTCAACAGGTACGTAACACCTAGTATGTTTACTAGTGATGTTTCCGATCCTTACGAAATCTTAAAACGCTCGATTCTTAAACGAGGAGACCTAACCGATCGACAAAGGTTAGATCAACTCTTCAACAATATCGACCTGCAACACGGTTCTGCGACAGACATGTTGCAACGGATGAGAGAGGTTATAGGCCCAAGAACTTTCGACGAAGGTCTATTCAAACAACTTTTCTTGTCTAAACTTCCCTAACAGGTGCAAGCGGTTCTGGTCTCGTTTCAGAACAACGCCTTAGACGAGCTGGCTGCATCTGCCGACCGCATTTTAGAAATTACGAAATCTACTACCGAGGTACTTTCAGTCAAAGAAAAACCTCAAACGACTCAGAATGATATAAATGACTTATGTCACACACTCACGCGTTATCTTAATCTTCGTACCGACCGTAGTCGCTCGCGGACTCCATGTAGAAGCATTTCACGAAAGCAATCTGTCTCTAGACCATGAGAGACGGATTATCCCGACTGGTGCTGGTATCATAACCAGTATGGAAAGCTTTCCAGAAATTGCAGAAAACCCTGCAATTTTCCCAACACGAAACCGACTGATTCGAAAAGCAATTCGGGAAACTTCCAAGCCGGCACGCGTTAACGGCAACCGTAGCCGGCGAACAAAGCCGTCTGTTATTCGTCACAGATGTGACAACGAGAGTTCGCTAGCTCGTTGACACTGGCGCAGAAGTTAGCGTTCTCCCAGCAAATCCTAACGACCGACTACACGAATCGACCCTAAACTTACAGGCGGCAAATGGAAAACCGATCGCTACGTATGGCAAAAGGTACGTTTACCTTAACGTGGGTTTACGCAAACCCATCCACTGGATTTTCGTTGTTGCAGATGTTTCTATGCCAATCATTGGTATGGACCTTCTACAACACCACAATCTGATCATCGACACTCGCAAACGGAAGCTAGTAGACGGAAACACTAATTTGTTCGTTTGCGTAACTTCTTTTACTGGTTGTAAAGTATCCCCAGTCACAGTTATACATATGATAGACCCACTCTATCAACCACTACTCGATAAGTACCCTGAGATACAACAAACTCAAACGAAACTACCGTGTGTAACCAGCAATGTTACACATCACATCACGACTACAGGACCACCTGTATTTTCTAAAGCACGCCGACTAGCTCCTGAAAAGCTAAGGTTAGCGAAAAACGAATTCGATCACATGATGGACTTAGGAATCATACGACCGTCAAGTAGCCCATATGCATCTCCGTTGCACATGGTCCCTAAAAAGGACAGCAACGATTGGCGTCCAACTGGTGACTATCGGCGATTGAACGCGAAAACCATTCCCGATCGTTACCCGTTGCCTCACATTCACGATTTGACAGCTACCTTGAAAGGTACAACTGTCTTTTCGAAAATCGACTTGGTTAAAGCGTATAACCAAATCCCTATGGCTACTGACGACATACCGAAAACGGCTATCATAACTCCCTTCGGACTCTATGAATTTTTGCGAACGCCTTTCGGTCTAAGGAATGCTACTCAAACATTCCAAAGATTCATAGACGACGTTTT